AAAATTCTCCACAATATCTTTAATGCGATGCAAAAAAAAAAAAAAAAAATGTCAATAGAAACATAGTGTTTAGTCCTGTTTCTCTCCTAGACAGGAAAACTGGCTCAGAGCTCGTCTGCATAGCTGTTTCTTTCCCAGACAGAGGCGCCTATAGAGCTAGTTTACTGTTACCTTTTCTACCAGAAAAAAGTATTTATAGATCAATGCTTCTATGTTCCTTTTGTACGTCTCATTCTGTCTCCTTGAACCCCTAGTCGGCCACAGCAAGAAACCTGGTTCTGCTGGAGTTTTTTTTTTCTGTTAATGGGCAGTTTTTCCTCTTCACTGTCACTCCACGCATGCCTGTTAATGAAATATTTTTGCAAAGTCTATAACAGGAAGCAATCAACTGGGTTTCCTGTAATGGAAAACTTTTAATCAACCTGACCAGATGATCTAATTGACTTGTTTCTGTTAATAGCCTTGAGGTGACGTAGGTTGTAAATTGTCCATATCTAAGTAAACTGAACTGAATGGAATAAAAACAGTTACAGTCAAAACCGTAAGTGAATATCTTACATTTTGCATTTAGTTTCAGCTTCTACTTTAAACTTCGACAATTTTCTGCCAAGTGAAACCATGTTTTATAACTTATATGCATCATTTATCTCTCTGACACAAATCCGGAGTAAAAAACATCTGTTTTTTTCCCCTCCTGCTACCATAGAATGGGTACATCGATGGGCCGATCCTCTCTACGTTTAAAACCCAGCTGGTTATTCTGCCTGCTGTCATGGAGTACATGCAGTACATCTTCATAGCCCTCGGCCTGCTAACCATTGTAGTGGCTGTCTTTGTTTTCTACAAGGTCAAGGTAGGAACCCCCCCCCCCTCAATATGCTGCTGCTGCTGCTCTGCATGTGGCTCATTTCATGGTTTTAACCATGTTTTCTCACGAGCAGATGGGAATGGAGCAGGAGAGACCATATTGAGGATTACTGAGCCTAAAAAGGCTTTTGACACAATTTTTCCAATAACGGCCACATATAGAACCAGAAGTTTAAAGCAAATGATTGGCTATAAAGGATGTATTTACATCTCAGGTGCCATTCAAAAGATTCACTGAAGACCTCCAGTCACTCCTGCTCCTCCCTGAATCCTGCTTTGTGTTTCCTCACGCTAATCTTTGAACCCTGCTTTGACTGACCTGACAAGGAAAGTTAAAAAGTCCAGATCTGTTCCAAGCTGCCGTCTGTTGTAACTCTGCTGCTCAGTTCTGCTTCCTGCCCGTTTATCTCATCCCTGTTGACGTGTGAATAAGAGCTTATCAGTTATGGCGGAATTATCTACGACATCATGCAGCAGTGTTAATCAGTGAGGCCAAAGTCGTCAGGATGACTTATCATCCGTGTTTCACACTGCTGCGCTCTGATTGGACAGCTCAGAATCAGTTTGGATTCTACTTCTGTTGATAAGCTGGTGAATTGTTTGTCTAGAAGTTGCTTAAGTAATTTTTGACATCACCGACTGTTTATTGGATGATCAAGAACAATTTCAGTGACCTAATCATGTTCGCAAATAAAGTGTCAGGTTTATCTGTGTTTTTCAATACTCTGTGTTATGAAACAGATGATATATTGTTGTAAAGGGCTATAAATAAAGCTTTTAAAGGTCAATAAGTAAAAGTTAGAATTCAGTTAGTATAGAGGAGATTGATTGCCCTCCTTTACATTTCTCTGAGTTGTTAAATATTTTCAAATGTCTGACTAAAGTTCTTAATTTGCTTGCAGAGGTCTAGTAATAGCGCAATGACTTCTCCAGAATTAACGAACTACGGGGTTTGTACAGCCGCCTCATGCGAATCATCAAATTCAAATAATAGATTCCGATTTTAGATGCTTTCTGTAGGAACTTAATGATCACGATTTTTCAAGACAGGTTTGTTTGAAATTCTCTTTCCGAATCATTGCATATGTCTCTGATTGTCAGGTAATTTAGGTCTTCAATCACATTCAATCAAAATCCTATTAAAATTTAAACAGTTTTTCGGATCACTTTGAACATCAGATTTTTATTAATGAATGGTGGAGCGATGAGCCTTCAGACTCACTCTTATAAACAGTAGATTTCATAAAGACTGGGGTCCCAGTAGCTATAGACATGGTTTTCTTTGGAACAGCAGATGAAACTGAAATAGATGTTTGTAGGGATGGGTCATGATCATTTAGAACAACAGCTCTATGGATGAAAATAACAACAAGATCTGTTTGGTTAATGATCTATAACAACAATGTATTACATTTAAATAAATCTATTTTTTTTTTTTTTATGTCACCTTGGATCTGATCGAGTTCAAAATAATTTCAAGACCAAGAATGACAAATAATGGTTACGGGAAATGTTAATATTTTGTCTGATCTTAGTAAATCCAATGGTAAATTGTTTCTTGTAACATCATTCAATGCAGTTCGATTGATCCTCCCTGGATCATGCTTTTTCTCATAATTAAAATTCATAGAGGCATACTTCCCATGCAGAGGGTTTATGCTAGGGGCATTTTCTTATGGTGGAAAATCGATAAATCTGGTATCTGGGTGTATTTGGCCCATAGAACAAACAACAGGACAAATGGAGCTACTATAAAGAGTAAAAGCAGAGAGAAAAGACTTGGATTTTGACCCCAAATACTGCAGGATTTTAGATGAAAAATGTTCACTATGTCCTCCAGAAGCCCAAGCCCATAGCAGCATAACTAAAGTGATAGCTCATTATAACCTGAGCTACTCCAATTATAAGCTGTATCAGAAATGACTGTTTTAATTAGTGTTGCGCCGATGCCATTTTTTGGCCCCGATACCGATACCCAATACCTGGCTGTGCAGTATCGGCCGATACCGACACCATAATAATGTAAAATAATTGGCTTTAGCTGCTGCCTACCTTTGTGAAGCAGGAAACAATCTAATACAAAGTGAATCCAGTAGAACTTTTTATTGCCTACCAGGAATGGGTGACAATAGTTGAATAAACTTTTGGCTCTCTAAATGGTATCGGTGCCCTATTTGTTGGTACTCGCC